CGACTTCTGCGGCTTTCTGTCGGCGGCGCTTACTCCCACCTCCGCTGGTGGAGTAAGAGCGCCGATTCGGGGATCGATTGTCGCGTCCCATAAATCGATCCCCGAGAGGTCGATTTCTACCCGCCGATTCAGGCGGGTAGTGTAGACCTAGCCTTAGTAATGTATAATGTAAATAATTTGTATTTATGGAGCACATTACATATTTAGAGTTCCGTGTTAACATTAATCCTCACACTGTTCCTGCAAAATAGAACTATTATCCCCATTTTGCAAGTGGAAGAGATTGAAATACAGAGAGAGCGATTCAGGTTCTGATTAGACAGGCACATGCTTAAGTGCCTTTCTGAATCAGGGCCTAAGTGAATTGCCCCAGGCCACCCAGAAAGTGACACAGCCAATATTAGAATTGAAGAGCTTTTGGCTCTTTAAACTGTACTTTGTCCTCAAGGCTGCAGCTACTCTTCTGCAATATTACACCATACATTTTCTCTGGTTCCCAAGAGTACCATTACGGTAAGGCTGCATTTTATTTGTGTTGAGGTGAAAATAGTAGCTTGGGTTGACCCGATCTGTGCTTTGATCTTTTTTGTATTAATAACCTCTAACCACTTTCTTCCCCCCAATCTCACTTTGCTGGTTATATTTATTACCTTATCCTACCACTTATCTTGGTGAGTCACGGGACCAGCTTCTTTGTATCTTTTTTTCTAATGCAACAGTGGTTTCACATTAACGCAGTGACCAAGACGGAGCTCTTTCAAGTGCGACCTTTCCAGAGGGAGGGGTCCAGTTTCATTATATTGTCTGCTCTTCTTCCATATGGCTTAGTGTTCTGTTGGCTTCAAATATCTCTCTGTATTGTCTTAATAGCTCCGTGTTTTCCAGATCTGATTTGATTTTGTTAATACTGTGTTGATTTTTCACCATTGTGATCACTCCAGCATTTGTAACAAACTTTTACTTTAAACTAGGGCAGTCAAGCAATTAAAAAAAATTAATCCTGATTAATTGCGCAATTAAACAATAATAGAATACCATTTATTTAAATATTTTTGGATGTGTTCTACATTTTCATATATATTGATTTCAATTACAACACAGAATACAAAGTGTATAGTGCTCATTTCATATTTATTTTTTATTACAAATATTTGCACTGTAAAAAAGAAATAGTATTTTTCAATTCACCTCATACAAGTACTGTAGTGCAATCTCTTTAACATGAATGTTGAACTTACAAATGTAGAATTATGTACAAAAAAAACCTGCATTCAAAAATAAAACAATGTAAAACGTTAGAGCCTACAAGTCCACTCAGTCCTACTTCTTGTTCAGCCGCTCGCTAAGACAAACAAGTTTGTTTACATTTACGGAAGATACTTCTGCCTGTTTCTTATTTACAATGCCACCTGAAAGTGAGAACAGACGTTCGCATGATACTGTTGTAGCCGGCATCGCAAGATATTTATGTGCCAGATGCACTAAAGATTCAATGTACCTTCATACTTCAACCACCATTCAAGAGGACATACTTCCATGCTGATGATGGGTTCTGCTCAATAACAGTCTAAAGCAGAGCAGTCTAATGCATGTTCATTTTCATCATCTGAGCCAGATGCCACCAGCAGAAGGTAGATTTTCTTTTTTGGTGGTTTGGGTTCTGTAGTTTCCGCATCTGAGTTTTGCTCTTTTAAGACTTCTGAAAGCATGCTCCACACCTCATCCCTCTCCGATTTTGGAAGGCACTTTAGATTCTTAAACCTTGCGTCGAGAGCTGTAGCTATTTTTAGAAATCTCATATTGGTACCACCTTTGCGTTTTGTCAAATTTGCTGTGAAAGTGTTCTTAAAACGAACGTGTGCTGGGTCATCATCCGAGACTGCTATAACATGAAATATATGGCAGAATGTGGATAAAACAGAGCAGGAGACTTACAATTCTCCCCCAAGGAGTTCAGTCCCAAATTTAATTAACACATTATTTTTTTAAACTAGCATCATCAGCATGGAAGCATGTCCTCTGGAATGGTGGCCGAAGCATGAAGAGGCATATGAAAGGCATATGGCACGTAAATACCTTGCAACACTGACTACAAAAGTGCCATGCAAATACCCGTTCTCATTTTCAGGTGACATTGTAAATAAGAAACAGGCAAGAAGTATCTCCTGTAAACGTAAACAAACTTGTTTGTCTTAGCAATTGGCTTAACAAGAATTAGGACTAAATGGACTTGTAGGCTCTAAAGTTTTACATTGTTTTATTTTTGAATGCAGTTATGTAATAAAACAAATCTACATTTGTAAGTTACACTTCCACGATAAAGAGATTGCATTATAGTACTTGTATGAGGTGAATTAAAAAATACTATTTATTTTGTTTATCATTTTTACAGTGCAAATATTTGTAATAAAAGAATAGTGAGCACTGTACACTTTGTATTCTGTGTTGTAATATAATATCAATATATTTGAAAATGTAGAAAAACATCCAAAAATACCAATTGAAATTTATTAAATATTCTATTGTTTAACAGTGCGATTAATCATGGTTAATTTTTTTGAGTTAATCAAATGAGTTAACTGCGACTAATCGACAGCCCTACTTTAAACATATTTGTACATTTTTTTTTTTTTTTTCAGATTTTATTCTTATGTTCTCCATGTCACTGGCTTTTGTATCATCAACAAAAATTGTAAATGGTGAACAGCTGGTCTGTATGTGTATTAAAAACAGAGGTTTGATTTTCTATTTAAGTGGAAATCACTTAAATCCTTTTCTCATTGCCTCAATTAGGCAGAGCTCCTCTAACTAGAGAACAGTCACTTCGATAAGCATCCGTAAATTTAGGTTAGTCTATACCACTGATGATGATTTTTTTTCTTGTTCTTACATTAACAAATATGGCTTATGCTTTAATTCCAAATAGTAACCTACTGGACTGAAAATCTGTCTGAAAAAGTTATTTTCTCAGGTTACCCAATTTTCATCTCCTGTGCTCTGAGCCAGTGTGCATTTGCAAATTGGAATGCTTGAACTTTCCATGAATTTGGTCTTTACTCATGCTTCCTTTTTGAAAAGTTTTATGATGCCTTTTAACAAATTGCTTTCTGAAAGCTGGTGAGGTAGAAATTTTGGAAAATCAGAGCTGAAGGTCAAAATAGTGCAATATTAAACCAACAGTGGATGGAACTGCAGGCTGCTTATGAGCCGATAGCAAAGTCTTGCCTGGGAACTGTACATGCCATGGACTTCCATTCTTCTTTGCCCGCCCCTATCCTAAATGGAGCTATGTTTTTTCAGTTGCTGTTATCACCAAGTGAGGTCACCCATCTGCTTGGCCTGATCCACATGACTTAGACTAGGAAGCACTCATTGGGGTATATGAAGCAAAGAAACAGATGTCTTTGTGGTTTCTGTGTATCGTACCTTTAAAGTTCTCTGATGTGCAGAGATCAGCAGCTGGTTTTGTTCTCAGTTGCTGTTGCCTGTTACAGAGGAGAGAGAGATGCTGTGCTCTCTCCTGGAGATTTTGTTGCTTTTGCATATTATGTATGGAAGTATGTACTTTTGTTTAATTGAAAATCAAAGTAATTTATAAAGAACAAAGTGTAATGTCTCCATGAGAGAGCATAGTGTGGGGGTGTCTCTTGTGTAACAGGCTACTGTACCTCTGAGAACAAAAAGAGCTGCAGCACTCTGCATAGCAGGTGAGTTCTTGGAGACCTAAAGATGCATTGCCCAGGAAACTAGAGGCATTAGTTTTGTAGTTACACATGCCACACCCCTGCCAGTGCTCCCACTCACAGACTGAGTGAGAGGGAGGGGCATGAACAGTGTTTTTCGCATTGCTGAATGCTAGAAGGATCCAGGAACGCAGCAGAACAGCTACGAGGGAGGACAGACAAGTTTAACGTGTGGGCCAGTCTAATCCCAGAAAAAACACTGGTACATTCTTCTTATGCCACACGCCTACTGAATGTGCAAGTCACAACTAACTACCCTTGTTACCAATAAACAGACAATAAGATTCATGGGCATGGACAGCTGGCAAATTCTGAGGATTTAGGACATGATCCGACAGCTCTTACTCAGGTGAACAATTATAATTCATGCAAGTAGTTCCATTGACTTCATTGGGACCACACATATGAGGGAGGGTTGCAGGATAGAGTTATTGTTCTCCAAAACATAGAGTTGGGACGTTTTTAAATGTGTTTCTTTTTAATGTGAAGACATAGGCACCCAGGCTAAACCTGGCCTAAAATTAGGCTCCGAAGTGCGTACTTAAGAATCTAAATAAAAGTGGACTGAATTTTCAGAAGCGCTGAGCTCTTTGAAGTCAATGGAAGCTACAGTTGTGCTGCCCCCTTTGGAAATCTGGCTGCTCTTCATGGATTTAAGAACCTAATGTGAGAGAAATCTGAGCATCTGGTATTAAAGCATGAGCCATATTTGCTATTCTGTAAGAACAAGGGGGAAAAAACATTGGTTCTCATACTGACTTTAGGCACCCAAGTTTGAAAACTTTGACCATGGCTTTGGTAACATGAATTAATGCACTCTTGATTTTGAGTCTGCAGCCAGACGCCTGGAAACGGTATTGACTTGCTGTGAGGCCTTGGGCACAGGGCTGGCTCCAGGCACCAGCTTGGCAAGCAGGTGCTTGGGGCAGCCGCTCCGGAGAGGGGCGGCAGGTCCAGCTGTTCGGCCGCAATTTGGCGGACGGTCCCTCACTCCCGCTGGGAGTGAAGGACCTCCCGCCGAATTGAGGCCGCAGATCGCGATTGCGGGTTTTGGGTTTTTTTTGGCTGCTTGGGGTGGCCAAAACCCTGGAGCTGGCCCTGCTTGGGCGAGTCACTTGAACTCTTGAACTTCCATTTCCTCATCTTGAAAATGGAAATTGTGGTGATTACATAAATTCTATGGATTTAAGTGGAATGAATAGGGAAGAGTTATGGCTGCTAGTTAATACAATCCATACCTGTTCTGCAATAGGGGAAGCAGTACTGCCAACCCCAGATGTTCAAAAATCATAAGTTAAGCCCCCAACATCACAAGATTGGTTTAAAAATTATGATTCTTTTAATTAAAAATGTGGGGTTCCTTTATTTGCCTTCTGGGTTTTAGGGTACATTTAAGTCACCTTTCCAAGCTTTTCTCTGCAACCATAAGGTCTAGGAACCTTTTTAATTGTTTTACATGAACATTAGAATTCTCACAATCACTTAATCTCCAGAAGCAAAACTGCAAATATCACAAGACTTACAATAAAATCATGAGATTTGGGAACTCTGAAGAAGGGGGCTTTGAAAAGCATTCTTCACTTCCGGACTACTCTCAAATACAATACAACTTTGACATAGTCACAACCAGAAGCTATCTGCTGGTGGCTATTTGAAATTAATTTGGTCATTGCCTTGCCATGCTGAATGGACAGGCGTCCATATCTCTCACACCATTATGACGGTGCTCACCATGATGATCATTAATGCCCTTAGTATTTAGACTGGTTTTGAAATGGAGTGGAGACAACCATCCTGCTGACCCTAGAATTGGTTCCTCCAGGTCCAGATTGGAGAAGAGCAGGAAGGTTTTTCTACTGCTTTGGTTTCATTATTTTACCTGTTCTGAGTTGTTCCACAGTTTTAGAATTCTAAGGGCGCTGCAAAAGCCCCTCACTGCAGCAGCCATCCCAAGAGTGGAGGCCTGCCTTCTTCTGACACAGGGGATTCAATGGGAATCTGCTACAGATATTGGCCTGGATGTGCTGTGGACTCTCTGATAAACAGGAGACTTCAATTTTCAACATCACACTTTCCTATACAATCTGTTTATGTTATAGGTGGGGGGGGAAATCTAGTCTCATAATTTAACTGAAATATGATTTGCATTAGAAATGGAGAGAATTGTGCAACAAAAATAAAACAACAAAAGAAATGTTCCATTAACAGTGGGAAATTTAGCATGGAGAGAAACTGACCATCCAGGTTGATCTTATGGTGCTTGAGAAGCATATAGAATTCAGTTTTATCTGTACAGTTTGTGCAGATGTAAAGTATAGCTCATTACTTCTAATTTTCATTTAAAGTAAATACTTCATCTTCTGTTAAATTTAAGCTAAAAGTGAATTGAACTATTATTTCACACTTTTCTTCTACAAATGAAATATAACCACTGTTTCGCTTGTTGCATAAAACAATATGGAAAACACAAAAGAAAGATTAGTACAATAGTAATCTGCTTGTTTTAAAAGCTGATTTAAAACTGTTGTAATACAACTAGACACCAGAGGGCAGCAGCACACCAGGAATCTAAAAAACCCACCCAGTTTTATTATTGATTATTCTGATAGGAAAGATATTAAATGGCACTCTATAAATGTATACTAAAGCTGAGTGAGATGTAAAAATTAACTTTACATCTTAGCCATGCAGAGCTGGAGTTACTTTTAATCTGAATTAAATGCTGGGTTTTCTATCCTTTTTCTGTTTAAATCTGAAAAGTCAAACTTATGACTGTGTAGTGTGACATGTTAGCAAACAGTCTTGTAATTGTGTTTTTTCTAGGTTACGTTTCGGACAAGAATCTATCACTGTAATATTAACAGCCAAGGAGTGATCTGCCTTGACATTTTAAAAGACAACTGGAGTCCAGCACTAACTATTTCTAAAGTTCTCCTCTCCATCTGCTCACTTCTTACAGACTGCAACCCTGGTAAGTCTCTCATACCCTAACAGATAACATCTCTATTGATACTGATCATCTGGCATTTTAGTAACTTACACCCTGATCCTCCATCACTAAAGTCAAAGGGAGCTTTACCATTGACTTCAATGAGCATAGGATCAAGCCCTTGGAGAAGAGAATCTCTGTCCCCACAAGATAGCCCAAGCTTTCTGTTGTCTTTGAGGGATAATAGAAGTTGTTCTGATATTCTGTATATGTCTGTAGTTTATCTGTTCTTAAGCTGCACTGCAAAGAAAGCAGCAACCAGAAAAATCCCGGACAATCATCCTGTAGATTGAAATTCCAGCTAAAAAGAAAGTGGTGTTTTAAACACCATATTCATGTGTGGAGTCTGCACCATCTGAAATTCTAGTGATTTGGTAATAGACTAGATGTATTTAAAAATTACCACCATAAACAAGGCTGAGAAGATAACGAGCTGGAAGTTTTCCTGTTCAGCTTTACAGTAAATTATTCAAGAATAAACTTCCCACCACCATATTTATATATAATTCCTAAGTAAGTTAAGAATTGTTTTTAGTACTTCCCTCCTGTGTCCCGCTTAGTTAACTAAGTATATCTCAGTAATATAAAATAAGCAAAACTTGTAGAAATTCTTCTAACTTTTATAGAAGTGTAGTAGCTAAGGTGTTGTGCTATGTGTACGTCACCAAAAACACCTGATCTAATCTTTTCATGGAAGCCAGATTTATATGGATATAGGTGCACTTAATGTCTGAGACATGCATACGGCCTTAGAAATGGTAAAGGAAATTGAAGCACACAAATCAGGTAAAATCTGCAATATGCTTTGCCATCTTTGTAGGTTATAAGTGTCTGTTGTCTTTTTACCTCCTTAAAACTTGAATTAGTGAATCTTTTCCCCCCACATTGAGCAATCACTTATAAAGCACCATAAATTTACATGTACACATTAAGACCTGTTCTCTACTTGGAAAGTCTAATAATCTATGTACTATAAAATGGGTCAGTGTTCCACCATGTACTTCCCCGCCCCCATGAATGCTTTTGGGTAACCCATCAGACCAATTCTCAACTTTCTTTTATGTTTTTCCCCAGTTCTCTTAACTAAAATGAGCAGGAACTTTTTTTTTTCTTTTCAGCTGATCCCCTGGTTGGAAGTATTGCCACTCAGTATATGACTAACAGAGCAGAGCATGACAGAATGGCCAGACAGTGGACCAAAAGATATGCTACATAAAATGGATTTTTGTCAAACTCTTGCATTATTTGTCTGTGATGGAAAGAGCTGCTTATTGATTTTGAAGTGGGGGGAGGGAGGGCGCTGGTAAAGAGTAGGGTATTTCTATAACAGATTTTATTCAGTCTTTTATTTCCTAAGATTTTGTTGTTGTAACTTAAGGTATCTTGCTACAGTAGACAGCTAGAATTGGGAATAGCATATTTTAAGACTGTCATTAGTTCAGCAATATTAGCTCACATATAGTACCAAGAAGAATGTAAACTTAGACTTTTTTTTTGTTCTGTTGCTTGCGATATGTAAAAGATAACAGCTTAATTTTGTACAGGTACATATGTTGACATTTATGTAAAAGTCCTTTGACGACTCTACACACTGGGTTTTTTGTTTTTGTTTTTGTAAAAGATGTTGGGATTTTTTTTCCCCCTTGGGAGGGTGTGCTGGTATTTAACAATTCCTTTTCAAAGACTCATCTCATGATATGTAATATGGAGGAGTGGATATATGGCCTCATATAGGAAATGAGAAGTAGTTGTTAATGTATTATTTTATATGCCAATCTACCTTTGTGAAAAGAATAAAGGTTTTAATCAGGATTTATGGCAACCTGTAGTGAAATACCTTAAGCTGTTTAACTGTAAGGCGTGGAATAGGAGTCACTCAGTGGATTGGTTGTATGTTGTGGGCTACTTAAGTCTGCATTTGTTACTGTGCTAATAAAAATATGTAAAAAATGACTCCTGCTTAGTGACCTGCTTTGTTGTTTTGCTGAAATAGCTTCTCCCCAATACATTTTGATGAAAGACCTATATTCAGTATCCACTATTTTTCCTTGTAAGCTAACTGCTGTCTGAAAGCATTCAGGGAAGAATTCCCTGCACTGATTTATCAATGGCCATAAACTTGCCTAGATGGGTGCTTTGTAGTAAGCAGCTCCTACAGCTTCCATTTTTGACAGGCTTTTCTACATTAGTATGTACTGCTGATGCCCCAGGAATAGAGACACGGGGTGGGGGAGGCGATATCTTTTATGGGACCAACTTCTGTTGGTGAGAGAGACAAGCTTTTGAGCGTACACAGAGCTCTTCAGGTCAGCTACAACACTGCATACCATAGGAATAGTCCAGCAGAGTACAGTAGAACCTGAAGGGATCTACGTAGCATCCCTGTCACAGCACATTGCTGAACATGCCATGCTTCTTACCTTTAAGGTTAGCTGCTCCCAAAACTGGTTTTGAAGTGCTACCCATTAGCGAAAACTGCAGAGAATGCAGCTGGAACAGTGTCAGACTAAGGATGGGCTGCAGGTGAGAGGCCGAGGGGAATGTCTGTCACAGCTGTACTGAGAGACAGCTGTACTTCCAGTTGGAGGAGGAGAAGGAATGGCATCATAAAAGAGCTGGGCAAAACACAACTTATATGAAAAGTGGGGGAAGATCGATTCTAACCTGCTGCAAAACTATTTCCTAATAATGTCACTTGTACAGCCAAGTAAGGGATAGGGACAATCTCGCTGTAAGGGAGCTAAGTGATCAGTCTTCGACAGGTATTGAATCAATGGTAAAGCAAAGAACAGAACACACTAGCTGTGCCTCAGTCCGTCCCCTCTCCGCTTTAGGCACTGAATCACACCATCTACAGCAATAGTTCACTGCCCATAGAAGCTTACTAATCCTGTAGAAAGCTGTATGTATATGCAAGTTTCACTCTGACACAACACCAGCTGCTCCAAATTGTTTGAGGGCTACAAGTAGATCAGTTACTTTACTGCAAGGGATGGTAGTACTTAGAAAGGACACTAAGCTTGAGTGACTAAAAAGCAGTAGGACAGACCTGTAAAGAAAAGGGCTTTTTTTCTTTTTAAAAGCCCCAGACAATGCCAGTATCTAGTCTGACCAAATGAAAAGTAACGTGTTGGGTTTTCGTTAGCTTATGTGGTGATGTATTACTTCTTAGTCACTCTGTATAATCCCTAATGCCTTCTCCCTTTATTAGGCTATGTCTACACTTAAAATGCCACAGTGGTACTGCTGTAGTGCTTCAGTGAAGCCACTCACTAAAGCGACCCATGGGGTTCTCCTTTCACTATAGTTGATCCACCTCCCTGAAAGATGGTAGCTAGATCAACAAATTTTCAGTGTAGACCAATTAGAAACCACCTAGGTTCTTAATGCCCAATAGAGCAGTGCTGATTTGTTAGGCCTGGCCTACACTGAAAAGTTACATTGCAATAGCTATGGTGTGAGAAATCCACACCCCTGAGAGATGTAGTTAAGATGATCTAACCCTCCGTGTAGACAGCACTAGGTTAACAGAAGAATTCTTCCATCCATCTAGCTATTGCCTGGGAGGTGGATTGCCAATGAGAGAACCCCTCCCAGTGCTACAGTGGCAAATTGATGCCATACTACCACCTGATTTCCTCTACTTTAGACAAAGGGATCAGGTCCTTTAGATCACAGCAAGGGCAGCAAACAATGTAGAACTTTCTCCTGGCTCATAACCGCTATAGGATTCAGGCTATGTAGTGCAGAAGTGTATAGGGTACAGATCCACATGGTAACACTGTCCACTCCAACCTCACAGGCCTTCAGTGTTAATTCTGACATACTAGCATTATGTATCTTGCCTGCTTTCCCTGCTCTCTAATACAGAACACCCACTCATGTGGTGACTTCATAGGTAGTATTTGGTTAGACACCTGGCAAGTCCACGTGGCTGATCTGAGACTGAATCATCTGCCATTCTGAGCATGGGTTCTCCACCTGCTGCTATGACAGCGGGGGTGGCACACCCTACTTCCTCTTTGTTATGGGTAGATAGGAGCTCCTTAAACTTGATAACATGGGGGAGGGGGGGTTAATGATGGCATGTAAAAGCTGGAGAACCACTGCTGGTAGAACAAGTTAGTCCTATCTTCATCCCACTTCCAAAATTAAGTCAGTGGTCTGCTGCAAACACAGGGGACTTGACTGTTTACATGTAGTATGGTGAGAAACATGGAGAATTCATGTACAGTCAGCAGGAAATTAAAGTGGGTGGTGTTCCATTGCTGCTCTGCTAGTGCCATAGCTCTTAGTCAGCTGCAATCCTGCAACAGAAACACATGCAAGGTTCTAGCAGAGGGTAGCAGGAGCTTGCTCGGTCATAAGGAATAGCAAATAATTGAAGATATAATTGCTGACTCTCTCATCATACGCCTTGCACACAGGAAGAACACTGATCCAGAACTACCTCATGGAGCAAGACAAAAAACAGGTTCAACTGTACAGGTAATCCAAGTTACTCCATCGTAAAAACTTGCTTCAGTTTGGTAAATTGTATTATTGCACCATCCTTACTAACTGTTCATACTTTGCACTGAGGTATTCATACCACTGTGAAGCAGAAGGATATTGCAGGTACATACTTAAAGGGTTAGTGCAGCCATCAAACTTGAGACTTTCAACTGACAGTACTCAGCAGCTTAAGCGTCACCACGAATAACTATTGAGGTCTTGCTGACTCATGACAGTACAACACAGTACAACAAAATACCAGGAAATACTACTTAGTTGGAAGTGTATGGAACTTTACTCATCTGTTCACTGTTTCACTCATCTGGCTTTCCAAGCAGCTGCTATCTCTCTGTGGAAATGATTTGCTCTCCCGCTGCTTTCGCTCTATCTCCCTCCTCAGGCCTTGTCAGGGTTCCCTCCCCACTCTGAATGCTGGGGTATAGATGTGGGGACCCGCCTGAAAGACCCCCTAAGCTTATATTCCACCAGCTTAGGTTAAAAACTTCCCCAAGGCACAAATTCTGTTGTCCTTGTCCTTGGACGGTATTGCTGCCACCACCAAGTGATTTAAACAAACATTTGGGGAGGGGCCACTTGGAGCCCTATCCCCCCAAACCCCTTCACCTCCTTTCCTGGGGAAGCTTGAGAATAATATACCAACCAATAGGTTAACAAATCCCTGGTTTGTAGGTCACTGAAAATTAATTAGGTTCTTTAAAAGAATTTTATTTAAAAAATAAATAAAAGTAAAAATCACACCTGCAAAATCAGGATGGAAGATAACTTTACAGGGTAAATAAAAAGATTTAAAACAGAGGATTCCCCTCTGACTCTGCTTCCCAGTTACAAACAGAGATAAAATTACCTCTTAGCATAGGGAAAATTCACAAGCTAAAACAAAACATAATCTAATGCATTTCCTTACTATTACTTACAATTTCTGTAATTTTAGATGTATCATTTCAGGATCTTTTTAGGAGCTGGTTTACCTGCTTGGTTTCTCTCTTTGTCCCAAGAGGGAACCAACAAAGAGAGCACAAACAAAACCTCCCCCCCCCCCATTTGAAAGTATCTTCTTTCCTCATTGGTCCTTCTGGTCAAGTGCCAACTAGGTTAATTGAACTGATTAACCCCTTGCAGGTAAGTGATTCTGTACCTCTGGCCAGGAGGGATTTTATGTTACTGCATACATAAAGATTGTTACCTTCCCTTTATATTTATGACAGTCCTGTTCAGATTGTTGGGAGAGCAGAATCCTGAAACGTGTTGATCTGTCCTTTGAGGTCAAGTTCAGTATCATATGCATCTGCTGTTGGAAGCTGTGCCACTTGTTACAGCTGAGGGATCTGCACAAGCATTTCTGCTGATCTGCCATTTGGAGCTGGCTGGCTGACTTTTAGATATACCCACCACTAGCAGGCCTCTCACTACACTCAGTAAGCCTCTTCCACAGAGATACAGTGCTTCACACTGTTGTTTACTTAGGCTATGGCTACACTACAGAGCTTACAGCCAATGCAGCTGCCCCACCGGTAGTGCAGATGCTCTAAGCCAATGGGAGAGAGCTCTCCCATCGACTTAGCTACCGCCGCTCACAGGGCCGGAGTAATTATGTCAGTGGGAGAAGCTCACCTGCTGACACAACGCTGTCCCCACACATACTTAGGTTGGTGTAACTTACTTTGCCAGGGGGGGATACCGACCTAAGCTGTAGTGTGTAAACAGCCTTAGTCTTTCTACAGAATACAAGCTGTAACTTCCCTGTGTAGATGGACAGCAGCTGTGTTTGTGGCTTGCTCTGCTGGGCGAAGGTAGTAACCGCACCCCTTCCTATCTCATATTTCCTAAGCTGTTGCAGGGTTCCAGCAACAGGGAAGTTGTACCATTTCTTGTCAGTGAAACCGTCCGATATCTAATCATAACCAGGCACCAATTTTTGCTTCAGTTGACAGCAGCAATATAAAAGTGGAACAAAATTACATAGTTAGTCTACCCTCCCCCAAGGGTTAGATTTTTTTTTTAATTGCTCCTCAAGCTTTTGTTTTGTACACCACATAACAGTAAAGGTCACTTTCCATATTGGATGAGTCTAGTGGAAACTACAAGGAAGCCACATCACGTTCCAGGCTTTGATCGCTAGTTGCAAGTCAGGCCTGACCTATCTGAGGATCTCTCATGGAATGTCTCTATTTCCACATGCAGCAGGAACATTGATGCTCGGATATCCCTGCCAGGTAGGCAATGTTCTTGTCTATTTCTCCTGGAGTATTCTCGCTCAGCTGTCGTGGAACTCCTCCAACTGTGTACACCACCCATGGGTAGTAAGTGAGGCGCAAAGGAGCTGAAACAACATCACATGTACCCTTTCCCAGCCATGGGAAGATAGATAAGCCCTTTCTCCTTTGCTGCAGCCAGGAGCTTTTGCAATTGCAAAAGGGGAACATCAGAGGCTGGACAGCTGCATATGGAGTAGTTTACTAATTGTCCACTTGTGAACTTGACCCAGTAGCACCCTGAAGTGGCCATGTGTGGGGATGTAGACAGCCATCACTGCTGTACATCTCTGTGCTGAAGTGGGCTTTAATAGAGCTTCCCACTAAAAACAACGCCCCCGTCCCCAGTGACCATTACAACATTTTTACAAAGTGCTCCCTTGCGGAGTGCTTTAGACCTTGACTGGCTGTGGTTTTCCAAGCAAATACTGGATTGAAGGACAGCTACATTTACGACTTTGCTGCTTTTAATTCTGAATTCAGTGTTGCCTCAGCAAAAACATGCCAAGCAATTGGCAGAGAAAAAGAGACACTATGCCCTTGCAGCAGCAGATAAACAGCTTCCCGTGGAATAGGGGTTTTTAGTTATCACAGTTATTGCCTTTGCTCTTCCTCCCAGGCAAGGGAAATGCTGACTTGTTCTGGGATTGGGAAAGCTTGCTGGCTAATGAAGTGAAAGGTTCAATGAGCGTTTTCCGATCTGTCACTGTCACCTCCCACAGTCTCACCTTCTCAGCCTTTGCCCATTGCTGTGCTTTTTCTGTTTCCACTTGTCTTTGCTCTGTGAGGTCAGTTTTGTTTCCTAAGACAACAATTGTCACCTAGAAGGAAGAGAGAACAGGCTGTGGTGGTATATACAGGTCAGTCACTGTAGCACAGAGTTGTTAAATAGCATACAGTAGTGAGGCCGTTCACAATCTAGTCTCTACGTTAATTTCGGCTCACCCTAAACACATTCTGCATTTTGAAGTAGTCGAATGTGGGGTTCAAACTGTTGTGTCACTCAACGCGCTGGAAGCAAAGTGGGTGGTGATCGCTACCCACAACCGGAGGGAGACAGGAGAGTGGAGAGTCACACATCACCCAATGGAAACCCATTCTGCTGAATCTCTACAGCCAGATTCTCCATTTGCTTTGCACTTTGTGTTACTACACACACCAATGACAAGAATGGAGAATGCTTGTGAATGTCAGTTTGACACCTACTTCACACAGGTGATGACAATACAAGGCAGTAAGGCAGCCAAGACCTAGCCCAGACTGCTGCTTTCTGAGCCCCAGATTGTAGCGTAAGGAGAGTAGGGCCTTGGCTACACTTGCGAGTTGCAGCGCTGTAAAGCCGCCCCCAGCGCTGTAACTCACTCCCCGTCCACACTGGCAAGGCATTTGCAGCGCTGTATCTCCGTGGTTGCAGCACTGCATGTACTCCACATCCCTGAGAGGCATAGCATGTATTGCGCTGCCACTGCAGCGCCAGTGTGACCGCCCAATGTGCTGTGACTGGCCTCCAGATCTATTCGGCAGTATCCCACAATGCCTGTTCTAGCCACTCTGGTCATCAGTTCAAACTCTACTGCCCTGACCTCAGGTAACCAACCATGTGACCCACCCTTTACATTCCCTGGGAATTTTAAAAATCCCCTTCCTGTTTGCTCAGCTCAGCATGATGTGGAGTGCTATCAGCGAATCTTTCCAGGTGACCATGCCTCCACGCGCCAAGCGAGCCCCAGCATGGAGCAATGGTGAGTTGCTGGACCTCATAAGTGTTTGGAGGGAGGAAGTTGTACAGTCCCAGCTGCGCTCCAGCCGTAGGAATTACGATACCTTCGGGAAGGTATCAAAGGACATGATGGAAAGGGGCCATGACTGGGACGCCCTGCAGTGAAGGAGCTGCGGAGTGCCTACCGCAAAGCCCGCGACGCAAACAGCCGCTCGGGTGCTCCCCCTGCGACCTGCCGATTCTACAAAGAGCTGGATGCGATACTTGGGGTTAACCCCACCTCCACTCCGAGCACCACCATGGACACTTCAGAGCCGGTGGGGGGAGGGTGAGGAGGAAAATGGGAGTGAGGGTGGTGGGCCGGATGGAGACACCCCAGAATCCCTGGAGCCATGCAGCCAGGAGCTCTTCTCGAGCCAGGAGGAAGGTAGCCAGTCGCAGCGGCCGGTACTTGGTGGAGGACAAACAGAAGAGCAGGTTCTTGGTAAGCGTTTTTTTCTTCAGGAAGGAATTTTTTTGGTGCGGACTCTTTGGGAGAGGAGGGTTAGGCATGCATGCCTAGATGCGAAATAATGCATTGATGTGGTTTATCACATCACGGTAATTGGCCTCAGTAATCTCCTCGAATGTCTCATCCAGAACGTGTGCAATGTGCTTGCGCAGGTTTATCGGGAGAGCCACCGTGGTCCTTGTCCCAGCCAGGCTAACGTGTCTGTGCCACTGTGCCACAAGGGGCGGGGGGGACCATTGCTGCACACAGGCAAGCTGCATATGGGCCAGGGCAGAAGCCGCATTGCAGTAGAAGACCCTCCCTTGCTTCCCAGGTCACCCTCAGCAGCTAGATGTCATCCAGGACGAACTCCTGTGGAAAATGTTGGGACAGTGTTCAGTGTAGGTGCCCCCTGAAGCTGTTGGCTCTCCCCAAGGCACAGAAACCCAGAGGACAGTACAGCCCTAAAACAATCAGTCCCCCTTACTCACCATTTTGAGGCTCCCATGGGATGTGTGCGCTCTGTTTTGGACGGGAAAATTATGCTATTGTGTAGACCCTGTGTGTTTTCTATTCAAGTGCGGGGGGAATCATTACTCTGTCTGGTATAAACAATGCTACCTCTGTTAAATGTTGCATTTTGCCTATACAGCTGCATCAACCTTGAGACCTCAGCCGTCCCTCTTATCGGCTGCTCAGAACCTGCAAAGACTCAGGAAGAGACCGCGAAAAAGCAAAGAAGACATGCTGCAAGAAGTGATGCGGCAATCTATTAAAGAGAATGAGAAAGCACAGAACTGGAGGGAGAGAGAAAGCAGGATTCACCAGGAAAACGCAGCACACCAGCGGCAAAGCACGGATCGGCTCATAAGCATCCTGGAGCGCCAAGCAGACGCTATCCAGAAGCTCGTAGCCATGCAGAAGGAGCAGTACCGCAAGCGCAAATGCCACCCCCCCCCCACAGCCCTTGTCCCAAAACTCTTTCCGTTGTGCCCCACTATCACCTCCAACCCACTTTCCCCAACTTCCGTGTTCTTCACACCACCAGCTGCCTCCAACACCAGTATCTTCACCACCCAGCCCTGAAAACCATGACCCTTACCCTCTGCACTCAACCCCCATCACCATGCAGTATAGCTATCCTGAAGAGCAGCGCTCTCAGCACAGCACACCAGACAGGACATACGTGAATCTGTGATTGTACCGTTCCCCACTCCACCCCCTTGTTTCTTTTCAATAAATGGATTTCTTGGCTTTGAAAACATTCTTTATTATTGCATAAAGTAAAAGACTCCATAGCCCAGGAAATAAACAGGCACTGCAAGTCTGCTTAGCAAACACTGATTCCTAAAGATTGGAACTACTTCACTCCCATGCAGGGCACCAGATATCACTGCTGGTTTTCAGCCTCAAATTGTTCTCTCAAGGCATCCCTAATCCTTGCAGCCCCGGGCTGGGCCCCGTAATAGCCCTGCTCTCTGGCTGTGCAAATTCAGCCTCCAGGTGTTCAACCTCGGAGGTTCATGCCTGAGTGAAGCTTTCACCCTTCCCTTCACAAATATTATGGAGGGCACAGCACGCGGATATAACCGCAGGGATGCTGTTTTCAGCCAAGTCCAGCTTCCTGTACAGAGATCGCCAGCGGCCCTTTAAACGGCCAAAGGCACACTCCACAGTCATTCAGCACCGGCTCAGCCTGTAGTTGAACCGTTCCTTGTTGCTGTCAAGGCTCCCTGTGTAGGGTTTCATGAGCCACGGCATTAACGGGATCTCCAAGGATCACAATGGGCATTTCGACTTCCCCTACCATGATCTTCCACTCTGGGAAAAAAGTCCCGGCCTGCATCTTCCTGAATAGCCAAGTGTTCCGAAAAATGCGTGCATCATGCACATTTCTGAGCCAGCCTGTGTTAATGTCAATGAAACGCCCACGGTGATCCACAAGCGCCTGGAGAACCATAGAGAAATACCCCTTCTGATTAACGTACTCAGATCCTAGGTGGGGTGGTGCCAGAATAGGAATGTGCATTCCATCTATCGCCCCTCCACAGTTAGGGAACCCCATTTGTGCAAAGCCATCCACTATTTCCTGCACGTTATCCAGAGTCACGGTTCTTCTGAGTAGGATGCGATTAATGGCCCTGCAAACTTGCATCAACATGATTCCAACGGTCGACTTTCCCACTCCAAATGGTTTGCGACTGACTAGTAGCTGTCTGGAGTTGCCAGCTTCCAGATTGCAATAGCTACCCGCTTCTCCACTGGCAGGGCAGCTCTCAGTCTCGTGTCCTTGCGCCGCAGGGTGGGGGCAAGCTCCTCACACAGTCCCATGAAAGTGGCTTTTCTCATCCAAAAGTTCTGCTGCCACTGCTCATCATCCCAGACTTCCATGACGATGTGATCCCACCACTCGGTGCTTGTTTCCCGAGCCCAAAAGCGGCGTTCCATGGTGGTGAGCATGTCCATGAATGCCACAAGCAATTTTGTGTCGTACGCGTTACGCGGCTCGATAGCATCATCAGACTCCTCACTCTCACTTTGGATCTTAAGGAATAGTTCGACAGCCAAACGTGACTTGCTGGCGAGATAAGTCAGCATACGCCTCAGCAGTTCTGGCTCCATTTCCCGCAGACAACAGATCACGCTGCACAGAAACCGTTGAAAGATGGTGCCAAAGGTGGCCGGAAACAAAGGGATTTCTGGGATGTGAAGCGATGCATCATGGGGTGTTGGGACAGGACCCAGAATGTCCCGTACCCACACCCCCTTCCCACAATCCACGGCACCAGAATGGAAAGAGGTGCTCTGTGGGATAGCTGCCCATAATGCACCATTCCCAATGGTGCTGCAAATGTGGCCACAACAGTGCGCTGGGCAGCTGTCAGTATGGACAGACTGCAGCGCTTTCCCTACTCAGCTGTACGAAGTCAGATTTAACTCACAGCACTGTACATCTGCAAGTGTAGCCAAGGTCTAAGTCTCTTCCACCATAAGATAACCTGTTGATGTTACTACAGGCTGTTGATGTTCTGAGTAGTGCATACAGGCAACCCCTCTATGTTTTGCCTCTAAATATCACACTCAAGTGGCATATTGTCCTGGAGGAGAGACGTATAAACTAGGTACATAAGCTAAGACTAATACAATTTTTTTCAGAGGAGTTTATCTAAACATTCTCCTGATTGTTTTACAATCCAATCTGTTTGCTAGCGCAGGAGAAGCTGAAAGCAGAACTGACTACATCAGGCTACTAGTGCTATTTAACCTTGTGTATTTCAAGAGGTTTTTCCTTTTAGTTTTAATCATCTCAAGTGTTAGCAACATGTAAGAAAATCTGTGCCAGTATTTACATTATATGCTCCTTGGAGAAGCCCTGCTCTGTACAGCCCTAAACTCAAACTTTTTACTGTGTCTCTTTAATTCTAACCCTCTCCTCTTGCTTTGGGTTGTTTTCATTCTCTCTCTCCCCTCTTCCTGCCAGCACTGGTTTTTACTGTAGCCAGGCCTAACTATTCTTTCCTGTTGAGCAGACTCTGGGATGTCGTATGCCTCCAGTTTCTTTCCCGGGGTTCTTCTGTCTGTAAGTACTTTACTACAGGTTCTCTTGCCTTAATATCTTCTACGACTCCCTGGAGAGCTCTCAGAGCATCATTACCTTCTGAGCAAGTCAGGATTACTGCTTTAAGTTATGTCAATATTGGTGATGTTTTAACTCTTATTGTTTAGGGCCACCATTTCCACCACGTGCTTTAGTCAAGATCACAGCATCTTTCATTTGCCACACAGGCCTTTCCAGACCCACCCATAAGCAGCTCTGTATCTGTCCAGAAAGGGGGAAGTTGACTTAGAAAAGCACAATAACCCTCAAGAACATAACTTCTGCAACCCACTCAGGAAACAAGATACCTAGCTATGGTCAATGGCTAATCTGTCTCTTCTGTGACTGCAAGTTGCACTGCTGTCAAACCATTCCTTCCCCCCGATACGTTTTGAGTACTAAATAGTACGTCTGGTGTTTTGCAAGAAGTGGTATGACATTCTGCCTGTGTCTCCCCCCCCCTTCCTTTTTAATAGCCTGAATGAGCTTTATTTTGCTGATCTATCGGCTAAAGGCATTTAGCAGGGAAAACCATTAAAGGATACATGGATTCTCTAAGAAGATGGTAAGCATAAGTGTTCTGTGCAGGTGATATTCAGCTAGCAGAGCTGCAACACTGTATCAACTGATAACACTAGCTGCTTTCTAAGGGAAAATACAGCAGTCATTCTGCACAATAGAAGTGATTTAACAGCCACACTGAAATACAATAGAGCCTCCTTGCTAATTGACTCTAATGTGTGGGAGACCCACTGTCAACTACTGTATTTTGTAAATGAGCAAGTGAATAAAACCAAGTGACCACATTGTTTTATCCACTGCACTTTGGTTTTCATGTATAGCACCTGATCAGTTTACAAACTATACTACCGTCCGTATGAAATACTACATTACATCGCTGCCGAGAAGAGGGGCAAGACATTTATTTTATGTGCCAATTATATAGCGTGTGGATTAATGAAATTTTCCTGTATAAGAAAAGTTCTTTCATTAGATGGCCCGAGACTGCAGGGAAAATTTGCTTTGCTTTGTACTGCTTTGTAATTTAACTTTCCATTACTGTGCTATTTCCGACATGGCCAAGAAATTAAGGCATCAAGCTTTTACCTCTTTTTTGTCTCTGACTGTGTCAATCTCTTTTTTGATCACTTCTGCTCTCTGGAAGGATTCAAGGCTGTTCACAGCATACACAAGAACAAAACCATCAGCAACAGAGAAGTAATGCTTTGGAAACTCTACTCCCTCTTGCAGACCTGTAGTGTCATAGAGACGTAACTGTTCCTTTACCCCACGATCTGTTTCGACTGAAGCCAAATACACATCTTCCACTGTTGCACCCTCTTCTAAACCTGTTGTTTTAAAAAAGCCCCCTAAAAGTTAAAACTTATAATAAATTCTGTAAAGTGATGATGTAAGTATTTATTCATACTGCAGTAAAACTACTAACACTCGGCTTTCAACAGTACATTTCAATCAATTTTTTTAAAAAATTGCTTTTTTGGATGGTTTTGATCAGGATTTGAACTCAGATCCTATTGTGTTCTCAGCAAGACCAACAGGCCAGCTATTTACAGTAATGAGACCATGTCATATACACATTCAGTACATGAATATGTAATGCATTTTTATGGGCATAAGTTTAGGATGATATCACTTAGGTGGCCCTTCCCACAGGTTCCCCAAATCCTGCCCACCAGAACTGTACCAGTTGTGCTAAGTATAAAGCCAGCTGTGGAGAAGTCAGAATTTGCCCCTCAGGCAGCATAACGGAGGGAAAAGGAGTACTAAAGAAATTACTAGTGTAAGGCTTAATTAAGTTTTCTTTAGCACCCTATCTAGTCCCTATAGCCCTAATGTTGCCACTCTTCCTCATATTGAATAGTACCTTTCTCCACGAGTAGGGGGACTAACACGTGAAGTCTATGGGACTACTTGTGTAAAGTACTAACAACCCAACAGGTAGACTCAGGCCATATGATGCTATAAGCAGCAAGGTTGAAGGATGTTTGAGTGCAGAGAATCTACATAACTTAAGGACATGATGGAGATCTCAGAATTTCAAGTCTAGCTCACTGGTTTTAGTAGTAGTAGTAGTATCAAGTTTTCAAACAAGCCTTCTGTTACCAAAGTTTGTCATCTCCTGCCTCTATTGCGCACCCACAAACATACGCTTGTTGGTTCTTGTAGGATAGCTAGCTTTTTGTTGATTTTCAGACAATATTGACACGTGTTAGAAAATAAGGATTTTACTATGTTGAATAACACTATTTGAAACCCTTCATACCAACAAAGATGCTTAAGTATTCCACCCACACGTGTGCTGATTATTTCCCCTGCTGCATGCAACCTTTGTCTCCAGAAAAAAAGTGGCACAAGCTCTCCTTGCTACTCCCTCCCTCTTTTTCTAGTCTTCATAAAGCCAACTCCTATTAGATTCACAGCAAACTCTGAATCCAACTCTATAGTTGGAGGCAAGATCAAGACTATTTGATCTTGCCTCCAACTATAGCCACACTGACATGAGGACATAAGACTAACAGCATGAGGAAAGACCGGACAGATTAATAAAAAGAGAACGAGTGCGAAATAAGGTTGTAGATCTGATTTAGGAAAGTGGTAGCAGGAGGGTATGCTGGGGCATTTTTAAAAACTAGGTGGCTAATTGAGTCCCTTCTGGGAACAATAATTTCTTCCTGCTCTCTGCCTCCAGCCACTGTACATGTGGCAGTTCCTCCCAACCAACATAATGGAACCAGCGACAGATATGTCTGTACCATCTTACCTGATGAGAAAGGGGTGGAAATGAAGAAGTCTTTCATGCTGGAAAGAGCTGAGGGTGGGAGTGAGAATAAGTAACCATGATGGAAGACCCTGTGCCTCAGAGAGGTCCTTAAGAATTTACATAGCAGTAGTCTCAATGGGTGAAATTCAGGCCTCTGAAAAAGGGCAGCACAAGGCCTATGTGCTACTCAAAACAGGGGTTAGAACATAAGAACGGCCATACTGGGTCAGACCAAAGGTCCATCTAGCCCAGTATCCTGTCTTCCGACAGTGGCTAGTGCCAGGTGCCCCAGAGGGAATGAACAGAACAGGTAATCCCCTGTCGCTCATTCCCAGCTTCTGGTGGCACATAGGCCTCCTGCTGGCCATTCATGTAGGGGGAATTTCCCCCAGTTAGAATAACCCACCTTTGAAGATGATTAGTAAGCTTAGACTTGCATGCATCAGCTAGAGAAAGAGGAGGACAGAACCATCTGACAATGCTATGGTTGAAACCATGCTGCCAAGAGCATTTACAGTTGTTGGCTAGTACAATCTGCCTACAGACATTTTTCTTAGAACCTTGTTACAACTGTTATGAAACAATGCTAAAGATTACTGGGGGTGGACAGGTACATCATTTATAACATTAGTAACTAGCCTAAGTCTCGGAGAGTCCAGGGGGTGGGGAGGAAGAATCCTTGTTTACATTGCAAATCAGCACCATGCAAGAAACGTGCTCGCAAATTTCATCTGTAGTAGACAAGGCACACTGTAAATTCTGCTCAAGTTTAGTGTAAATGGTTTTGCAATTTAGAAATGTGAAGAGTAAGGATCAAAGATACTGAACGCCATTTACCAATAAATATTTGACAGTGAATATTACATAGTAAACTTAGACAATGCACAAAGAAACTGCAAATACGGAAAGCAGATTACTAAAAAGTGGGGTTTTCAGAAATGTCCAAGTGACTTAGGAGCATAAGTGCCATTGTCCTTTAATGGGATCCATGCTCCCATTGTGTTCCTTGGGCACTTTTTGAAAATCCCATCTCAGGTTAACAAATTTATTTGGGCATAAGCTTTCATGGACTAGAACCCACTTCATCAGATGTATTAGTAAAAGATACAGGAGCAAGTATAAATACATGAAAGGATGTGGGGTGCTTTACCAAGTGTTAAGTCAGTCTAATGAGATAAATCAATTAACAGCAGGATACCAAGGGAAGAGAAATAACTTTTGAAGTGGCAAGAGAGTGGCTGATTACAGACAGTTGACAAGAAGGTGTGAGTGACAGTAGGGAGAAATTAGTATTGGGGAAGTTCATTTCCTTAACTTATCTCATAGCTGATAAGCTTTGGCAGAAATAGAGGGGCCATAGGCACCTCGAAGTACAGGGCTGACCTCCATCTGAGACATCACTGAACAGAGGGAACATTTCAAAAGCTTTTCCAGACATCTTTAGGAGAAATTAACCAGTCAATGGTCTAGTCTGCTCTCACAAGACAAGTCAGGCTAAAGAGCCCCAGGTGCTATGGAATTCACACCCTACCTACCAGATGTTCAGCTAAACAGGTGTCAACCACAACTAAAACTAAGTTTTAAAGAGTCTACAAAAGTGAAATCACCTCCCTTTTCAATTTAGCAGGATTCCTATTCTAGGTATCTGTATCTATTACATTTCAGATGTAATAAGTCTACTCTTTCTACAGTCATCTATATAGTCTCCCAGGTGGAAGACCAGAATTTCTAGTGTCAAAAAACAGGCAGAAAGAAAACATATTGCACCCTCCACTCTTCATCTTTTTTCCCTTTTAAACTTTTATGTTAAGTAGCAAGAAGAACAAACAAATAACCTCCCACCACCACCACTACACACACACACCCACACAGCCAATTTTATTGTTACTTTGCAAGTGTCCATTAAGAGGTGGTATAGAAGGCTTGAAACAGAATTTAGAAGAGTTCCAGAAAACTGATTGCTGCCAAAAAACCAAGACCATATTCATTCTCCCCCTTCATCTCAGTAAAGGTAAGAAATTAAGCCGATTGGTACCCCCAAAACTTGTTGGATCATAAAAAAGGAAAACCTATCTCACCAACAGTATGTTTTCCATAGAGAAGCTGCTCCAAAATTGCTGTTTTTCCCACTGATGCCATTCCACAAATCACTACTTTGTAGCCCTTTCCCATCTTCTTTCAGGATGGCAAAGTCAGCAAATAAATCCTGTTCAAGCAAAGAGATCTGTTATATTTAAGACATTACATTAACAGAACTCTGAAGACAGACTAAAGCAAAGCCACTGAAACATTTAGTGCTTCAGTATATTTTAATTATATAGTTCAACAAGCCATGGAGTTGATTTTGAAGCAGAGCTCTCTCTGAAGAGGTCACTAGCAGCTGGTATTTCCAGGACAATGCAATTTGCTCCCACCTCCACTTTTTAAGCCTCAAGCCTGCCAACGTTTACACACATTTAAATTTACTTAGGCAAGCAATTCCCTCCACTTCCGGGGGGCTGTTCACACAAGTAGAGTTACACACCTGCTTACTACTTGCAGGATCAAGGTCTTGCAGCCTCTTCAAGGCAGGGGCAGGGACTGTGTCTGCTTTTGTGTTTGTACAGCACCCAGCACCTTGCCTGTGCAGTGCTGCCAACTCCCACCTCTACCACTGTGAGTTTCATATCTCTCTCTAATATATGGAGATATACCTATCTCATAGAACTGGAAGGGACCCCAAAAGGTAATCAAGTCCAGCCCCCTGCCTTCACTAGCAGGACCAAGTACTGATTTTGCCCCAGATCCCTAAGTGGCCCCCTCAAGGATTAGAGCTCACAACCCTAGGTTTAGCAGGCCGATGCTCAAACCACTGAGCTATCCCTCCCCCCATCTGACCACTCCAGCTCCTGGAAACACGAGCGCCTGGGCCTGCATTTCAAACCCAGCACGAGTCTCGCCCTCACATTCGCAGGGAAAAGCTGGCAGAGGTGCCCCCCAAAAGCTCAGACACCAGCGGGCTGATAACAGCTGCGTGCTGGGCACTCTCAGGCTGGGAGGGGGGGGGGGGGGGCTGATGTGCGATTTTGACATGGCTGGAGGCGGCCATGCCCAGGCACCACCCAAAACCGCTGGCTCGATGGGCAGGGACCCCTGGCCCGGAGACGGGGCGGAGAAGGCACCGTAGGCAGGCAGATGCCAGCTGGGCCCGAGGCTGGGGGAGGCTCTCTCCAGGGCCATTAGCCCAGCGAGCTGGCCCCAGGCCCGCCTTTCCCTACGGCTATTAGCCCAGCGACAGGGGGCGCCTCTGGCAGGAGGGGTCGGGGACCCCGAGCTGACGGAGCAATTGCCGCGTGCGCCGCAAACCCCGCCCAGCCGCTCCGCTCCACCCACACGCCCGGCCCCAGGAACGCGGCAGGACCTGGGACCGCCACTCGCACAGACAGATGCTCCTCCCACCTTAGGGGTGCAGCTCCTAGGCCACTTCCTCAAGCCCTGCCCACCCACAGCCCACTGTGTGATCACAGCCCCGCCCCCTCCTTTTATTGGCCACGGGGTGAGGGGGGCGGTGCGGTTGGCCCCCTCAGAACTACGTTTCCCAGCAGGCTCCAGCGCTGGCGCCGGAAGCGATAGGGGGCTGCAAAGGATTGTGGGAACCAGGCCTCTTCCTTTCCGGCTTCGGGCGCCATCAGGTGAGGGTATGTGCCGTGCTGGGCAGTTGGCTTTATCCGATCCCATCGGAGCTTAGAGCCGCCCATCCGTCTCTCCTTCTTCGCCCCCTGCGCGGCCCAGGCCCCTAGGGCCCGGGCTCCGAGGCAGGGACAGGGCGGCAGGGAGCGGGTCGGGTCGGGCCGGCCCCCTGAGTGGTGTTGGCGCGAGCTGGGCCGGGCCTCCCCCCTGCGGGGGGGTGCCTGGGGCGCAGGCAGTGGCGTGCCGAGTGGGGAGCCCCATTGGGCGGCCGGGGGCGGGTCACTGAACGGCCATGACAGGGTGAGGAAAGGGGCGCAGCGGGTGCCTAGGCCTCTCTGAGCTGGCTGCTGTGGGACAGCCCTTAGAGTGTGAGGGATGGGGGTGACCGCTTCTGACTGACACGTATGGGGGGGGGGGGTGTCGCACTAGGGTCCAGGGGCAGCCAAGCCTTAGGGCTGTATCGTGGGGGAGCCTCACTGAGGAGGAGTTTGGGTAGGGGGTAGATACTGACTCCAGTTATTCAGCTTGGCTTGATTTTACTAGTTTGTGTTCTATACAGACATCTGCACCCTGTGGATCAGCAAGGGCTTCTTAAACTGCCCCATTGAAAACAGTGAGGGAATGGTGTAGGAATGCCACCCCATATAGGTAGACTGGAAGACAGAGCTTTTAGCACAAGAGGGGAAGATAACCAAAATGTGGTTTGTTTCTAATCAGGCTGTCTCAGGTTGAGATATTTTTTAGGGTTGAATTTGACGTGGCTGAATTAAATTGGCTTTTTGACTTCCCATGAGACCTGCAAAACTATGCTGCATGGGATAAGTGGCTTCTTAAATATTTTGCAGAATTTTAATGATGCTCTTCTGGAGCTTTCAAAGAACGTGAGATACCAATAAAGTAAGCTTTTTGTTAGATGAAGAAACTGAGACCCAGCATGACTTCCCTGAAGTTTTAAGTTTCACAGAGCAATAACTAAAATTCAGGTCAGATATTATTTAGTTTGTGGTAGCAGCCAAAACATGCTGAGTATGTTCACAAAGGAAAAAAGTCTCTGGGCTGAAGAGTTTGAGGTATAAAGACATAAACAGATGAAAAGAGGAGGAAACTTCATGATGGTAATCAGAATGTGTGGGTTAGTTACAGATCTCCAGAATCCCAGATGTGTGCTTCTTTAATAGTGTAGCCATGCTTGACATATATATAGGTATCCTTGGAGATGAGTTCATATAAGGCAGCATATTTTTTATTCCCTTTGTGTGGTGGTGTGTTTTTTTTTTTGGTTGGAAAGATGCTGCAAGCTTACACAGATCTCTAATTCAGCAGGTAAACAAACATGGGTGCCTACAAATACATCCAAGAGCTATGGAGGAAGAAGCAGTCAGACGTGATGCGTTTCCTTCTGCGTGTCCGCTGTTGGCAGTATCGCCAGTTGTCTGCCCTCCATCGAGCTCCCCGACCAACCAGGCCAGACAAAGCCCGTAGACTGGGATATAAGGCTAAACAAGGTAACTAGAACTAAAAGGGTGTGAGGTCAGCATGCTTTAGTGGTGTAATGGTTTTTGATAGGTCTTTCCATGATTGAATATTAATGAATCAGTGTAACTGGGAGTATGCTGCATACTTAATCATGCTCTTCACTGAGAGTTTAAATTTTTGTTTCCTGTGTGAAGTTAGTTTGGTATCATACCAAGTTACCATATGAGTTGTGGGCACATACGAGAAGTAGAACCTAGATTAACTCTTAATTGGCACCCATGTTGGCATTTTGGGTAGAGACGCTAGCCATAGCCTAAATATGTATGGAAACTGAAATCCTCTCATTCTTATGGTATATCTTCACTACTGAGTTAGCCTGGGTGTTGAGCATCTGGTTTAGCCTAGCTCGGGTATAGACCAGCCACAGTCAAGTTATTGTGTTTTCACTGGTGCTGCATTCCTCCTTGTGTCACTAGCACTTCTGGGGACAGATCCCATGGTTCTATGTGCTGCAATGAAATGAGCCCCGATTCTTTCTCAGTGAATTGTGGGAGACCTTGTCTGTCCTTCTGGGCACAGAAGGAATTATGGGAAGGAACTTGAGTGATATAGACCAGTGGTTCTCAAAGCTGGTCCGCCGCTTGTTCAGGGAAAGCCCCTGGCGGGGCGGTTTGTTTACCTACTGCGTCCACAGGTTCGGCGATCGCGGCTTCCACTGGCTGCAGTCCGCGATCGGCCGAACCTGAGGACGCGGCAGGTAAAGAGCCCGGCCCGCCAGGGGCTTTCCCTGAACAAGCGGCGGACTGGCTTTGAGAACCACTGATATAGACTATATCCTCACTGCAAACTGCCAAGTGAAAATGGAACCTGGGTTCTAATCCACATTCCCAGCTAGACCCGCTAGCCAGAGTTAAAAGCACTAAACTTGGGTGAAGCATTTGTGAGGGGATAGGAGAGAATTTAGGGGGCAACGCCCAGGTAAGAGCCTGTATAAGTGTACTCTATTATTGGTAGGTTATTTCAATTCCCAAACCAGAATACTCTATGCCAGTGGAACTGTCTATTCTTGGGGAGTTTTGCCGCTTTAACTATACCAGTATACGTAAAACAACAAAACTTTCTCACGCAGACAAGCCCTTAATGTTCTGTATTACTTGGCGAGCAATGCGTGAAGATTATTGTACAAAAAGCAGAACTTGTGGTAGCACAGAAGTATAGCCCATGGTGGGGAAGCGTAATAGCATAATTAGTGACTGAAAGGTTATAAGAAGTTTGTAGTTCCAAGAAACTCAGTTTTTTAAAAACGATGTTTGCAGGTTATGTTATCTACCGCATTCGTGTTCGCCGTGGTGGTCGTAAACGCCCAGTCCCAAAAGGTGCTACCTATGGTAAACCTGTAAATCATGGTGTTAACCAGCTGAAATTTGCCCGGAGCCTGCAATCTGTAGCAGAGGTAAGTGTCTTTCCTTTTGGTATTATGTCCATTCGTTTGCATCTTCCTTTCAACAGACATCATCTGTCTTTCCTTGGTGTCACTCAGTAGCAACTTCTTTGGGGGGCTGAGTTGTACTGGTTCTGAATATCCTTCTTTACCAAAAAGCGATTTCCTCTGTAACGTAGAAGATCATGACTAATGATAGTACCAGAGTACTTGTATAGGATTCTTTATCCATTTCTTATTTTACAGATGGGAACACTAGTGTTCAGAGAAGTTAACGTGAGCAAGTCATTTGCACTGCACATTAATGGCAGAGCAGTCACCTAATGTATATATGCACCTAATGTGTCAATGCAGCTGTCCTATGCCCAGCAATATAGCCTACATCAAATAAGGGGGTTTGACATCAAGAAACTTCAAATATGTTATGGTGCATGTTTTCACCTATGCTTTTGGTCTCTGTAACCTAGACTGTCCAAACAAACCCACCCTGATGTTTACATTTGCTATGATATGCATGGTATGGTATACATATTTATTCTGCAATCTTAATCACTTTCCTGCAGAATGATTCAATCTGAGTTGTTGCTTCCCAATACTCTGCTTGCCAAGTAGTAAAA